CCCTACACATGCAAAAGGCACAAAACCCTTAAAGAGCAGAAGCATCGCTGCCAATAACATCCACAGCCATACAGCATAAAAACAGTTCCCAAGCACAGAGAGGGCTTTTCCCTCTATAATCCCCATCAAACAAAGGAAAACGGTACTTAACTTCTTCCATTCCCTTCATTCTCCCAAATTACTCAGGGGGATGCTGGGAACCAGACACTAACCTAGCATGTAAGCTAACACTGCTATTCTCTACTAACTCAACTCTATCGCAAGGGGAATGCTAGCAGCACGGACGTAGTTTCAGTATATTGCCAAGTTCACACTATAGCACGTTCAAACATCCACCTTTCCTAACTGCAACTCAACTCTGTTCTGTTCAGCACTGCTGAACATGTATGGAGATTCAATCCATTTAAAATTTAATCAAGTACCTTTTATCATTACTCTACTTGAAATACACCTTGATTCTTTGCAACAAATTCCTTTGATAGCATCAAGCTAAATAAGGCAGAGACATAACAGTCTTATATTGTTAAAATTACACACTATAAAATGAATTACTAGGCATACAATCTATGAATTTGTATAAAACTCCACAAGTTTACTTAGCCATACTGTGCCAACATGTTTTTTTTTCAAACATAAAGACTCCTGACTAAGAGACATTAAACACATCTGTAATAACGAAGCATTAGAAAACTGAAGTATAAACTATCCCCAAAGTAGTTGATTTAAAAGAGTAAGGACAAAACGGTGACCTCAAATTAGTATTAGTTTAAAGGTATCCAACACTTGAAAGGCCTGGAGAAAATAAGAACACTGAAATCAGAAAAAAAGTTTCTCATTAACTGAACCAATTGTATAACTCAAAAAAATGAAACTACCAGCAAACTTAATATGCACCCCCTCCAAGTTGTAAGCTAATAGATACTTATGAGAAGTAACTAGATATTTATCAGAAATCACCACGAGACCTGACACCAGGTAGATAATAAAATAATGTTATTCTATATGGTTTATGGGATGGCTCATGAAATAATCTCCTTGACATTACCTTCCGGAACCACATACTGAATTAGAAACATTTTTCAAGTAACGCATACTGTAAATGCAAATTACCATGTCTCTAATGAATTTTTCGCAAGAAAACAGAAAAAGAGAAATTCAAACTCCTGATCACTAGAGTTCTTCTAAATATTATTCATTAATAATTTTTCCCAAGAGTAAAATTAGTAATTACCTATTAAGAGTTAACAACGTCTTTCTGAACTCTTCAACTTCATTTTGGGATTTTATAACCTCAGATTTATGAGCACTTAATCCATCCTTAAGATGCTGTTGCTCCTCCACAATTTCATTCACTTTTTTTAGAAGCTTTTCCTCATCCTGCATAGAAATGTGTACATTTTTAACCGTTCACCAGAAAACTTGATATGGAACCTTTATTACACAGAAAGAAAGAGTTAAAAGTTTAAACCTGTTACAATACATTGAAATGTGTTACAGCACAAAATTTGAAAGGCACTGGGAAAACAGCCTGTCTTATACATAGGAAGATCCAGATGTTTTGTACACATAGGCACAGCCAGCTCTGGATTTGTCACTATACTGGACTAAACTATAAAGCCATCAAACAAGGCAGGGATCCTAGGAAGCCTAAGATCTATTGGCTGCTCCCTTTTCCTCAGTTAGTCCCTTAGCTCTGCAAGAAGGATCCCATTTGCTGTACATCTTCAAGATATTTAGCAACACTTAAGGTAGCCTGAAATCCTTTAAAAAGTGTTGTTCATTAAAGACAAATCCTGAGGTAATCCACAGAGAACAAAGAATCTGTGGAGGTACTCTAGAAGAGTCTTCCCCTACATAACCCATACCACCGCTAAATTGCTAGAAATTAGGTGCTAGAATATAGTAAACCTAACGCTATGTGCATGAAGACAAGGTCCTTAAGAGACTAGCAGTATGGCAACCTAACCAAGACTTACTGCTGTTGCAGTACCTAAACAAAGTACCTTCACAATTTAATACAAACAATCCTTTTCCAGGACAAAAATAGCTGAATTTGCTCAAAGTTGTATTTCAGAAGAATTACGCACACAGGCATGAAGTCAGACACGGTTTTGTGCATAACTGAGTAAGGGTGTATTGTTCTTCCTCAGTTCCAGAGGAATATGTATTCTAATGTTAAAATACAGAGTTCAAATGATGCATGCGGGGTTTTTTTTGCCCATTTTGGGGCAGTTTTACATTTTACTTTTCTTTTTTCATTCAAAGCACTATCATACATCTTTTCTCCTTCACCTTCCAGTGCACCACAAGCACAGTTTGTTTAGCAAGCAACATTAACACAACAAAAAATTACTTATGAATAAAGAACACTATGAAGGAGAAATCCATACATATTACTTCAACTAAAAATCTAAGTTAGTTTTCATAGAACTATTTTAAGTCTGTTAGTGGCTGTGAAGCACCTTAAAGATGCAAAGCACCAGAATTATTTACTATTACTCAGAAAAATCTTCTAAAGAATCTCAGCCACATGCTACTAGTTTTATCTGTAGTCATATGCTGACTATTCATATAAACTAAAGACAATCTAACACTGTATGTACAGTAATCCCAAACTTAATTTTTAGTAAGCTTATTTTTAAAAGCTACCCTAATATGACAGGTTATTCCAAGGTTAAAATGACAACACGCAACTGCATTTTTTTAACATTCACAAAGTCAACACTGAACTAAGCCCTAGAAGAATTACTCAAACAGTATCAACTAATTTTATTCAAAATTGTAATTCAATGCATTCTTTCCTCTCAGTCCCAGAGATACATCTCTCTCTCTCTCTCTCTAATTTTAGAGTTACCTTCTGTAGCCTGGTAATCTCATCTTCATCTTTACGAATTGTCTCCCTTAACTTGCTGACTGCATTTGTTAATTTTTGTAGATGATCACGATTATATTCCAGCTGAACGTTCAGTCGTGTCTTCTGATTTTCAAATTCCAGTCTAGTCGAAGTATAGCATTTCAAACTAACACTTACAAAGCAGTCTAGTAACTGATTTTAAGTTATTATGAGATACATTTTCACTTTGACTATTTAGATAGCATTTTTATATCTTCTACGTGAACACAAAATTTTGCATACATTTGGATCGCAGATTCCACTATATCACATTCTGTGGATACACTAGAAGTTGCAAAAATCCAGTGATAATAGCTCAAAAATACAAGATACAGTAGGGCCACATTCAATATGAAAAGTGACACTAAAACTTCCAAGTGTCTCAGTATGAGTGATATACTTGTAAATGATGCAGATATGAGCTGGGCAAAAGTTACACTGATGCTATATATTTATCCAATGCCTGAGCTCCCTGCTCAACCTCCACAAGCCTCCTAGTCAGCTGGCATGGATTTTTATCTGAATATTTGTAAGGAACCCATCTCAGTTGGGAGATGGTAATTAAGAAGCATGACAGCAGAGCTTTTAAAGACATATTCAGCCTTGCTTATCATCTCTCAATTGAGACCTGTATTTGTTTATAGAGGTACAATGGCAGAAACTTTTTCACATGCTGCTGTGAGAAAGGACTGAAGTAAAACCAAGCGGCTGTTTACAGAAAGGTCTCCTCTCAGCAGGTACTACCTGCCTCTGAGCTTTGAGCTTCCCACACGACTTACTACTAGCGCTGCATCTGTTGGTCCGGCAAAAGGGCTGGCACACTGCCAGCTCCAGGCTCTTCAGACCTGGGCAAGGCAGCACCGTAGCATCAGCTTACAGGACCAATGATGGGAAGTTAGAGCACAAGGAAGGCCAAGGCTGTCTGTGCAGCACAGCATAAGGCCATGCAAAAAGCTCCTCTTCTGATTGTTCTATTACTAACTTCTTACACTTTACCAGATTTCAGTTCTTGCATACATAAGTGATCAAATCAGTTCAGCCAGCAGGTGTTTTAACTGCAACAGAATGTACTGTGCTACTACCTCATTGCAGCCCTAGCCAACAATCTACATTTGGACTAGTTTCTGAAACCAGTCAGAGAGTCTCTTAGCAGCTGAAAAGCTGGCTGAAAAGGGAGTTCAGTGCTAGTCATTACACTAGTCATGTAGAAAAGGGGTATTTTCTATAAATAATGTCAGGAAATGCATGACCTATCATCTGCCTGAAAACGCTTGTAGTACAAGGCGATAGTTCATTTTAACATTAAGATATAAATCTGTGGTCCTGTGACATGTGCCTGTTTGAGGGGAATGCCAGCTGAGGTTGCCAGGGAGAAAATTAAGATCCTGCTTTCCTTAATAGTACATTCTTATACCAAATCACTGCATCTTACACCCAGTTCTCCTTTAAGATTTTTGATACATGAGCAAGCCTTCATGCCATCCTCCATTTTTCAATACAGATTTTAGAAAACTATTCTTCGCTTTATTCTTCTACAATAGTGCTACCAATATAGTAAACTTTACCTTTCAAGTTTGTTGCAAAATGTCACTGACTGTAACCATCTAATACAACTCAAACCATAGCAGTGCTACTGCTAGGTAATCCTTGCAGTGATAATAGAATCTTTTACAGTGTTCTAGGTTGTTGCGGTATTTCCTGTGATGAGTTACTCATTTACCAGTGTGCCCAATCTAACACAAACCACTTTTTTACGTTTCAATTATAAATATCACCTTTTTTTATCAATCTCCTCTTGTCTCCTCTTGTTGTCAACATGTTCTTGTTCATACACACGAATATTTTCTACACCGATTTCTTCACAGAATTCCCGGAAAACAGCATCTTCAGCCTTTGAATAAAGAGAAACAGAGCAAAAAATGTTTATGCTATTTCGCAACTCACAGAAGTAAAACATTTAGACAATCACTTCATGCTACATCCTGCATTTTCAAGGTACTTCAAGAAACAGCAAACTGAACTACTGAGAAATAATCTGTACTTGAAATTTTCAAATAACACTTTCAGTACAAATGCCAGATACAAGGCATATGATCTGCAAAAGGTAACTCTGATCTAAGCTCTCCTTGACAGCACCTGGTCATTCCAAAGACAACTGAAGTCATCATAGTGTAACCAGCTTCCCTGGTTTTGTCTGTTGTTCCCAGCCAACTGAAGAAGAGAATGCTGAATGGTATACAGGACACTAAGCAGACACACCAGGTTTCTTGGCGTAGTTGAGTTCTTAATTTTAACCCTTTCAAGTGATCCAAAATTATTAATTACTATGTTCCATTTGTAGCAAAGCCACAGCAAAAAAAAAACTGCTACAGAACCTCTCACTTCCAAATTATATAGTATATATTAACAAAAGCTTCAGCCAAGACCAGTCCCAAAATTTTAATGAAAAATTTAAGCAGGCAAATAGTAGGTACAGTGTATATGGCAGGACTGAACAAAGAAATAGCAACAGCCTCCAGCATTTAAAAGGAAACCCAATGGACTGAATTTAAGAGACCTTTACGGGTCTAAACTCAGTATTGTTTATATTCTTTTGGTACGCAGGCTTATTTAAACAGATCTCAAATACTACATCAAATCAAATGATACTATTCAAGCAACACTATTCTTTGCAAACCGATGACCAGTCTCCATTGGGTTTTTCTGCAGAACAAGCAAAAGAAAAAGTTCCCTGAACCTGGAATTCTTACAGCCTAAACATCAATGACTTTCACAGTGTTTGCAGATGACAGACATCTGCGCTCCCTCAGGCCTGCACAACAAGCAAGACAGAGAACACGCAGTAGTTTTGGCTTCTTTTCACATGCAGAATTCGAGTCACAGATTAATCCAAGACTGATGAGAACAGGTCAGACACCAGGAACTAAATTACACATGTACTATACACCTCAAGTAACTGCACACAGAGGTGAGGAATCTAAGAATCTACATTTACACAAGCATCTACGTGCAGAGCTGTGGATTTTCCAGATAAAACTGCACCACCACTTTTCCATAGTCTGTACTGGATTTCTTTGTTTGGCAAGAGTAGTAATAAAGACAGCTTCCAGACACAAGCAGAGATGAGGTGCTTATTTCTCAGAGTTATTGTCTACTCTGGTAGATCACAGTATGAAACCCCTCTTGGTATCAGATTAGGCTTTACACCTATTCCCTGAATGCCTTCAGTTTCTGCATGATGACCATGCTTTTGAATTTCTCAGCTGTCTGTACAACTGTTCTGGTGTCTATCTGAAGATTAGAGAAAGATATGGAAACTGAGGTATGAGATGGCAGAACAGTCTACAGAAAAAACAGTTGGGAAACCTAACTGCTGGATCACGTATCATAGAGAACTTTTCCTGTTGCTGATAAAAAGCAGAAAGGAGCAGGTTCTAATGACAAAAGCTGCTTAGTACCATAACAAATAATGAATTCGGAAAGGTGGGGATAGCACAAGGTCCCTAAGCCCTACATCAGCTACCTCTCAAAAAGAGAGGGAGAGCAAAGAAGACTCAGTCGTATCACAGGCTAGCTCCATCTTCCATGAATTGGACTCTAAATGAACACAGGCATACAAGTCTTTAAACAAACCCAAAACAAACCCCAAGACCACAACATCCAAAAACCCCAACAGACTCAAAACACACCCCACCCCCCCAACCAACCCACCCAAAACAGTGGAATGAGGAATTTGCTGACAATCATCATGCACACTTCAACCATTCTCCCAGGGTAATGAGAGTGCACAGAAAATAAAACACAGATATTTCCTACTTCCCAAGAAGAGAAAGGAATCTTCACGCTCTGCTGCTCTTTATCTACTTCTCAAGTATATAGTGGTGTAACAGGTCATCACCTGGACATGACAGCTGTAGAGTTCAGAACAAAGCACTCTAGCAGTGCTGAGAACTGTTCCCATCTCTAGAAAATGGATACAAAGCTCTCTTCCTAATAGTATGAACATGCCTGATCTATTCTGCCCGTGGGTTGCAGAAGCAGTGGATCCTCTCTTCTCCAGATGAAAAGCTATTGATAGAGCATTTCCATGTAGACACTGGATGGGTCGTGCTATGACTGCAGTGAGAATGATTTTCACAAGGGTAGTCACTCATGCAGAGACTGTCTACCTAGTGGGTGCACTGATTACTCAGAGATCTGCAAATCTTCTGGGTGCATACAGTTTAGTGTACACACATGCTGTCACAGATCCATGTCAGCCAGGAAGACTTCATGCCAAAAGAAAGTTACAGTCCAGTCATGCTGCATAATTACCTCTCCACAAAAAGGAAAGCTGCTGTAACCACAGTTTCTTACAAAGAACTTGGACATTAGAGTCTGAGAAAGAATAAGCTGATACCAAATTTTACCCCAAGATCTAAAGAGTGTTTTTCTGGGATTTATCTACAGTGAAAGTTTGCACCGAGAGCTCTAAAGCTGTGAACTTCAATGGATTGTCCCTGCTCAATACTACAAAGAGTAAATCATGTTTATTAGCAGAGACGGAAAAGGTTGGTGAAAAGCAACCCATCTTCACACTCAAAAATTTTCTCCTACATCAAATGAAATTATAGTGTATATATTAAGCAAAGCTTCATCTAATATTCCAGAAGTAGGTGGATTTGGTTGGTTAAGTTTGTGTTTGGCATGTAAAACTCACAGAATTTTGATTTTAAGGAAATTTATTTGCAAAACTATGATACATATATACCATCATCCAAGTGCACTTCTGATCAGTTACCTTGGTAAGAAAGGTAGAGAACGTGGGAAGACTGCTGGAGTAACTTACAACCCTTATAGACAAAGCAGTTTACAAAGTCAAAAGTTGTCCAAGTTCTAAAAATCAGCATGAACAGAAAGACATTTCTGTTGTATAACAGTATAAGCTGTCACGACTATTAAAGAAGCTATTACCTCATTAATTTTTTTCTGAAACTCTTCTATTTTTTCTTTTCTTTGTGCTACTCCTTCATTCAGCATATCATACTGAGACTCAATATTTACCAGTTCACTTTCCAGTTTTGATTTTTCCTAGATAGAAAGGAAAAAGATGGTAATTTTTCTTAACAGGATAGTCAACTTTCTAGGAACTGAGACAGTTCTATTCCAGGTTAACTGTATTCTTCTGATCAAAAACATTAAATATTTTCTTCTCAAATGCTACTTACTCACTATTATTGCCGATTTGCATGCAATGATTAGTTAATGAGCAGAAAAGCAAATTACATAAGTATCATTTAAAGCGCATTTTGACTTACAGACTTCTGAAGGTTACTAAACGATCAACCAAGCTTAACAGAAATTCAAATTTAAAACCTAAAATAGAAAAAGCTTCATGCAAATTACTTCACAGTCTTGCTTTTCATATTTTATTAATTCCTCAGTCGTAACTGCTGTATGTAACACTTAAACTGAATTAAAAAAACTGCGTAAGGAAGTAGTATTTACTTCACTAGTAATTACAGCTAGTAATAATAATATAATTATTAAACATAAAAATTATAAAGGCTTAGTACTATACCGTGTAGAGATTAGCAAGATGTTTCTTTTTAATAAGCTCTAATTCACTCTGTGAATATTTAAGTCGTGTCTGAATTCCGTGGCATTGAGCATGCAACTGCTTCAAGTCAGTCTCCTTACGTCTGACCTTCATTAAGTCCTAGAAAAAGATCAGGATGGGAGTAAAATGCTTTTTAAACAAAGGTAACTTATTTGGACATTACCGATTTTTCAGATTCACGCACTACATAAAGCTAGCCTCACTGACATAGGCCCCATTCAAGGTAAATGCTCATAGCATTGGTGATTCAATAGTCATTTTGTAACACATTCACTTCTCAAAAGAAAGCATATGCTTGCAAATTCCTAAATTCCTACCCTAGCCTTCTTCCAAAATAACTAGAGGCATGACAAATCATTTTACACTGACATGTTTTGGTTGGTGCAAATATTTTCGTGTTGACATAACACATCATCTTCAGGCACTCTGCAAAATACCTCTTGTTCCTTGAAGGAATTTGTATCAGTGTTACCCTGGGTTCTCCACCCCCGTGATATGCAAACCAACCCACTGGAGACCCACAGCTGATTACTATTAACTAGAAGAGGATAAACAGCTACTATGTCCTGTCTGCATCTTCTGGAAGTTTTGAAAAATCTCCTTTTTAGAAAATCATCTTCTTATAGCTGAATTAAATTAGACACAACTTTTATTGCTTTATGCCTTTTGCAGTTAAGTGCTTTTTAAGAGACCTACCTTTAACTCATGAATCAAGCTATCTCTTCTTTCTTTCATTTTATTAATTTCTTTATCATCCCAACATCTAGCTTTAAATCTTAAATCACTTGATCCTCCAGAAATTACTCCAGATTTCAAAAATAAAGTTCCATCAAGAGCCACTGTCTGGAAGAAAAAAAAAAAATTAAAACCAAATAAATCTGAACACAAAGCAGCCAAACCATCCCATAACGAGTTCACGAAGATACAGTACTTAAAGAAGCAACAACCACATTTTAGTTGGACTCCAATTTTTTTTCCTGTTCCAAACCTGCTAACATGAGCACAAAGCCACAAAAGAAGTCTGTTGTTTCTTGGCACTAGTCACTTTCTGGTATTATTACAACCGATCAGAAAAGGAAATGAAGCTGCATAACTTCCTTGTATTTAGGAAATTAATAGGAGACATTAGTGTATACACCGGCAACTTAGAAGGTTATGTCTGGCTCAGTAGAGCAAACCAAGCAACGTGATAATGGAGTGAAGGAAAACAGCTCGTTTGTAAACAGAAAGTGTAAATTTTAGTAGAGAACATGGGTGTGTTTGTGACTTGATTCCAAGTAAACATGATTTCACACTCACCTTCAACTTAAAGCTGTTTTAATAAAGATTTTAAAAGGTTTACCAAGTGCATAAAAGGGCTCTACAGACTGTCTAGAGCAACAGAGATATGGACAAGAACGAACTGCAGGAAGAGGCAAAGGAGCTTCCAGTCCTCAACACAGTCTAAATCTACAACTATGAGACTGTCAGATTTTTTAAAGAACTTTTGAAGCATTTCTTCATAGAAAAGCTAGCAAGATAAAGTTTGTGGTTTTAAATAAGACAGTTTTAAGAACAGGATTATCCCTCCTTCCTCCTCCTTTTCATCACAAGGACCATACCAAGCAACATATTTGGACATTAACTATCCTCTAATTTGCCTTCTTTTCCCAGGAAATCACTTAAACGTACTAGCATAAAGAGGAAAACAAAACCACGTGAAATATCTGGGCATTTATTTATGTGGGAATAGACTAGACAGTTAAGCACCATTCTGTATTTATCTGCAATACTTCATGGGATGTTTATAGAAGAATTATTTAAATGGCATCAAATATATAACTGCAATGAAACACATGCAACAAAATTCAGCTTCTTACTTTCAACCTCACTGGTCCATCAAATGCTATTTGTTTTGCTTCTTTAACTGTTTCGCAGACCAAGCTATTCCCACTCACAAACTGAATCACTTTTTTCACTGGAGCAAATGGAGTTTGTACAACATCCACCATCATTTTCACTCCTTTTATCTCTCTTAACTTTTCGTTGATTGGTTTAACCTGTAAAGCAAATAAGCGGTGTTTAGAATCCATGTTGTAATAGCAAAGCATGTCGAAAGCTGAGTGGACTGGGGACAGGGTGTACAGATGAACAGAATGAGGGTCTCAGTCACTATAAGACTAGAAACAGATGTAGTTTTCACATTCTGTGTATACTATAGTCCTTAAATCTGTATAACCTATTTCACTGTGCATGAAATGCAAGTATATTAACATATGTAGCATGGGGAATCAACAACATGAGCTAAAGATCTGTGTGCAGTTGCAGGGCTAAAATCTCTTGGGACCAGGGAGACATGGTGGGATGGCTCCTACCACTGGAGTGTTGCAATGGAGGGACACAGGCTCTTCAGGAAGGACAGGCTGGGAAGACGAGGAGGTGGAGTTGCCCTATATGCGAGAGAAGAGCTGGAATGCACAGAACTCTACCTGGGGAAGGATGACAAGCCAACTGAGAACTCATGGGTAAGGACTGAAGAGAGAAACGGTAAGGGTAACGTTGTAGTGGGTGTCTGCTACAGGCCGCCTGCCCAGGAAGAACAAGTGGCTGAGGCCTTCTACAGACAGCTAAAAGCAGTGTCACATTCACAGGCCCTGGTCCTCATGGGGGACTCGAACCACTCCGGTTATCTGCTACAGGGACAACACAACAAGGCATAAGCAACCCAGGCAGTTCCTGGAAAAGCACTGATGACAACTTCCTCACCCAAGTGACAGAGAAGCCAATGAGCAGAGGTGCTCTGCTAGACCGCATACTCACAAACAAGAGGAGGCTTGCTGGGGATGGGAAGGTTAAAGGCAGCCCTGGATGCAGTGAGCATGAGATAGGAGAGTTCAGGATCCTGAGAGGAGAATGCAGGGCAAAAGGCAAGCTCACAACCCTGGACTTCAGGAGAAGACACTCTGCCCTCTTCAAACATCTGCTCGGTGGAATCCCACGGGATAACGCCCCAGAATGAAGAGGCGCCCAAGAATGCAGGTTAATATTCAAGGATCACCTCCTCCAGCCTTAAGATCTAACATCCCAATGAGCAGGACGTCAGGCAAAAATTCCAGGAGGCCTGCATGAATAAACAAAGAGCTCCTGGCAAAACTCAAACACAAAACGGAAGCATACAGAAGGTGGAGGCAGTGACACTTAACCTGGGAGGAACATAAAGGCACTCTCCAAGCATGCAGATAGGGGTTAGGAGCCAAAGCCCAACTAGAATTGAATCTGCAAGGGATGTCAAAGAAACGGCTTCTGTAAGTACAGAGGTGACAAAAGGAAGACTAGGGAAAATGCAGGCTTGCTGCTGAATGAGGCAGAGGACCTGGTGACAAAGGATCTTGAACAGACTGAGGTACTGCATTCCTTTTTCACCTCAGTCTTTACTAGCAACACTAGCCTTCAGGAATCCCGGGTTCCAGAGACCGGGGGGAAGTCTGGAACAAGGAAGACATACTCTTGGATGGAAGGGGATCAGGTCAGGGAATGCTTAAGCAGACTGGACATGCATAAATGCACAGGCCCTGATGTGATGCACCCACCAGTACTGAAGGAGCTAGCCGATGTCATTGCAAGGCCACTCTCAATCTCTGAATGATCATGGCAACTGAAAGAGGTGCCTAAGGACTGGATAAAAACAAGTCTCACTCCTGTGTTCAAAAAGGGGCAAGAAAGAGGATCCAAGGAACTACAGGACAGCCAGCCTCACCTTGATCTCTGTGAAGGTGATGGAGCAACTAATCCTAGAAACCATTTCCAGGCACATGAACAAGAAGAAAGTCTTGGAGGAGTAGTCAGCATGGATTCACCAAGCTGGTCATGCTTGATCAATCTGATAGCCTTCTGCAATGAAATGACTGGCCTGGTAGATGAGTAGAGAGCAGTCGATATTGTCTACCTAGACTTCAGTAAGTCTTTCAACACTTTCTCCCGTAAGATCCTCATAGAGAAGCTGATGAAATATGGGCTGGATAAACAGACAGCGAGGTGGACTGAAAACTGGCTGAACAAACAGGCCCACAGGGTGGTGACTGGTGGCGCAAAGTCTGGTTGGAGGCCAGTAACTAGCCATGTCAATACTCGGACCAATCCTGTTTAACACCTTCATTTATTATCTGGATGATGGGGGACAATGTACCCTCAGCAAGTTTGCTGGTAACACAAAAGTGGAAGGAATACCCGATACATGTCATGCTGCCATCCAAAGGGACCTCAGTAGGCTGGAGAAATGGGCTGACAAGAACCTCATGAAGTTCACCTCTAAGTATTCTGCCTTAACACTTAAGCCTATTTTAGTTTACCTTAAATGAGCCAGTACCAAGGTTTACAAGCGTATTAACTTGCTGATGACAGGAAAAAGAAAAATGTACTTACATCAAGGTAATCCAAAGCAAGAAAAGTTTCAGGTTCAGCTCGTTCTTGTTTTAAGAACGAAATGCAATCTCTTGCTGTTTTTTCAGTGGCAACAACAATAGCAGTCATGTATCTGCTGAATACCTTGGTAACAGCAAGCTGGTATTTTTTATGAATAGGATGACACAGGTCGAGCAGTCTTCCAAACTGAAGATAAAAATAGAGATATACTAGTATGTTACTTTAGATATCAAACAATATTTCTGCATACAAGATACTGAAGTAGAAGTAAGAGGAAAATGTGTTACTATCTACTATCTATCTAAATATGTTACTAGGAGAGCTGCACTCTCCTACAATGGCTGTACATCAGAAAAATCACAGAAGTTGTAGCAGTCAATCCAAATCGCAGAGTATGCCTTCAAAATCTGAAAGGATTTAATTTTTTCCCCTGAGGTTACAGTCACACACCTCAGTGTTTTGCTCAGAATATCTAGCATACACTTCTAGAAGTATGACAAAGCGACAACAGTGAAGTTAGCTAAGCATCTTTTTTTTGGAGAGAACGAAAGTATCTAACACACAGTAAGATCTCTGAATGACAGTAAGGTCTTAAATAATTAGCACTATTAACTGGAAAACAGAAGCAAGAAAGGCACTATTCCAGTTTTAACCCACAAAAGAAGTATCTGCTTACTTTAGTAGCAAGAAAAGAATAAAACTTGCTTTTCTTGTACTGCACAGTCCAAATAATCAAGCCTGTTCTGCCATATATTGAAATAAACAGATAAAACTAATTAGTTCTTTGCTGTGCAGGCTCCCTGAAGATCTTCTGTTCCATTTCCGTAATTATAGATACAGTTGAGCTTTCCCTGAATGACTAAAGCTACTAATGGACATTCTGAACATCAAAACCTGTGAATTCATGCAAGAACAATTTTTCTGCTTGTTCACATATAGCTACTGGTCTCCTCTTGCATATCTACAGTTTTATCCTTATCGAATTACAACAAACAAGAACAGAAAGACAACTGACAAGAGTTGTATGTGGTAAGTCATCCACAGTATTATCTCATGAATGATATAACTGAGATAATTTCCAGTAGATCAAATCACGGCCTACTATGATCTACTTTCCTACCCTTCTCTTGACAAATGTTTTCCCTTTTCTGAAAAACAGCAGAAGCAAGGATAACACCCAACACCACAAAGGTCTTTATTTAGTTTCCTGGTTTTCTCACACAGTGTCATCTACTTGGATGTTTCTATCTGCAGCTCAGACACGTAATGTTTCAGACTTGCAAAACTATACAGATGATCTATACGCTTTCAGACATAGGCACTTAAGTCCAGATGGAATGCCAGATTTCTGTGAAAACAAATACTGACAGTCCAACTGAATCTGTAATAATAGCAATCTTGCCAATTAAAACTACCAATGTAGGAAGGTCATTTTGAAAATCAAATTGTAAAAACTGTAATCAGCTGTAAAATTCACTTTGTTGATCAGACAAATCCATGAAAATGCACGTCACCCATACAGCAGAATCACATTACTGCACGGCTATTTCAGTACCTGGAATGCTCACCAAACATTACAAGAATGTTTTAGCAGAAGAATATAAGCTTTAAAATGGACATAAGAACTTCACATTTAGAAGCAGTATGCAATTTTTTGCCTATCAAATCCAGAAGACCAACACTGAGATGTTCCTCTGGTTCTGCCCGAGTACCTAGCGGACCAAAAGATGAAACTTACCATGACCCTTCCAGTCTGAGACTTTAATTTAGATTGTGTTTGGTCATCTGGAATTAGTACACGAGAGTGTAACGAGCAGCTCAGAAGCAACTCTGTTGCCTCATATGCTGGTGTTGGGAAAACTATTGCAAGAACAAGGGTAACTGAAGCAGATATCATTAAGACTTTCTGTAACGAGACAGTTTATGTAACCAGTTCGACTTATGTAGTTTTTATTTGTTAAAAGCCATCACATCTGTCTCTCAAACTTGCAGGACCTGAAGGAAAATGACAGAGAACATCCTGAACATCAGTTCTCCCCTAAGCCAGCAAGGTATCACCAGTCTGATCCAGTTCTTTTCAAATAGGATACAATGCAAAGAGTGAGCAAATCACCAATCACCTTTTTAATTTTTTGGAACATCTTGTTAACATGGATGAAAAAATTCTGAAGAACAGCTGAAAAGTAAGTATCTTAATCTCTTGAGAAAACAACAGGATTGGTCACTTGCCAGATTCTGAGGTTTTGCAAAAGACCAAGAAGCAAAGAACAACTGAAAGCATTTAATTTTTTATGTTCTTATGGCAGCACTAGGAACCAGAGATACGTCCCCTTCTGAACATTTAGGAAGGGATGGGGGGCGAAGGCTCCCAGCTTGTACATCCCAACTGACTACGTATATCAAAAAGGACTGACTGTACTGAGACATACTCAGAGACCAATTTTTCAACTGATTAGATTTATTAAAAAGTTCTTATTTGGAATGGCTTCTAAGGTTGGAGTAAATATTTTTAAGTGTCAATAAAAAGGTGTAAATATGCCTCATAACAATAAATATCTGCTGACAATTCAGAATCAATACACAAAACACTTAAATTACTCTTCAGTAATGCCATTAAGTAAAATATGGTAACTGATAAGCAAAGACAGACCATTTGGTAACATAAAAACCTCATGTATCTAAGCAAAATTGTCCTTTGGAAGAACTATTCTTGCCAGAATAAATGGTCTCACAGCTAACCTTTCCATTCACTTGTTCAAAATAAATAAGTCAAAAAATGTGTTAGAGGACAGAGGAAAACAAAACCAAAAAGTAAAAAAATAAATAAAGCAAACACCACAAAAATCACACAAGACATCAAAATTATTCTGTGATGCAAGCACTAACCTGTCTATTTCTGGTAACTGTGAAAAATAATGACAGTATACTCTACTATTCTTTCAGTAATACTGTTTCACCAAGTACACTCAAGTAAGCATAAAGTTTAAAAGAATATTCAAGACAATCTAATTTACTCTACCTGTTTACTCAGTCTAAGGCAGAATCCTTAAAATCTTAATTCTAAAATAAGGCATTTAAATGAGGGCATTCAATTACCACAGAATTTGGATACAGTGTTTTGAGAGTTTCTAGGATCTCTGCTCTCATTTGCTGACGCCTTCCTTCATGGCAATCAATTTTGGCGTTCTGCAGTTCACCAACTATTTTGTTCAATTCTTCATTCACTTCAGCCATTCGTGTTGTTGAATTTTCAATTTCCGTAGTCAGCGCTTCCTCTTGCTGTTTCTTCTCTGTTAATGATTGACTTTGAACAGAAGAAAAAATAGGAAAGCAATTTATGATTTCATTTATAAAAGCTTTTAGCTTATAAAATTAAAATTCTATGGTCACAGACTACAAAAATCATTAAAGATTTTAAGTATCTATAAGAAGCTATTTCTTATACAAGCTGCATTCTATAGTACAAGCTATTTTTATGGTTTCAAAATTGAGTGCAAGTGAGAGTCTTAGCCCGTGTAACATGCAACCATGTTATTTTATCCTCCATCAATAGAAGGTCTGATACTGTAAAACTAAGCTGTACTGAGAGTTCTCATGCAAAATTATTATTCACTTTACACACTTACCAAAATCTCTAAGGCTCTACCACACTCTACTACAAATACTTGATTAAAATAATTCTGCATCACACCAATCACAACGGGTCTGCTGCTCCCTGTCCATGGCAGAACTTTGTTCAGTACATAGACAGCATTAAGCTCAAGCACACATTACAGATGTGTAGGAAAAGACAGGTTGGGGGAAAAAAAAAAAAATAAAAATCTCTGGAGATCCCCTACTCTGACCTCCTGCACAAAACACAGGTTAATGTCAAAGTTCGTTCAGGTTGCTCAATGAAGGGCTTACGTACCTTATTTCACAAAGAATAAAAATGAGGTAGAATAAAAATGAGGTAGAAGACAAGACCCAGGAAGCAAGAACTGAGCTGTGCTCCTAACACACAAGGTAAATAATACTGCTTTCTAGAGCGGCACAACTACAGAACTGCCCTGTTCTCCTCCTCAGAATTTGTACACTAATAGCCCCATAACCTACATGTAGTGACATAATTTGCACACCTACAAGAAACCAGAAGCAATTATAACACTGGTTTCAAACAAAATATGGATGAGTCATCATACTTACTACTTTATTTTGACAGCTAAAGTAACTGAAATATTAATTAGAATTAGTAACAACTCTAATTCTTATTAAAATTTTAAAGAAAAGAATTAGAAACCTGCTATGTTAATTTGAAAATACGTAATATGCAAGAAAATCAATTAGTTTTTAATTTTTTAAACATACGTGCATATCTTGACATATTCTTCCAACTTCTCTATTCGTTTTTTACGCTCGTCTATCTGTTCCACAGTGTGTTTTATGTTTTCCTATGCAATCACAAATAGAACGTGTTAAAAGCAAACCAGAGGAAAATGAAGTGTTTCTTAGCAAGACATAAAGCTCTTAATTCAGAGCGAGTACCGAGACAGGTATTTTCTTCCTTGTTGGTATTTCACGCTGAATCTCTTTTTCAATAGTAGATGTCAAATTGTACCGTGAATAATAAAGGAAAATTATTTTATCAAGGCCATTACTGGATTTTTCATGTTCCTCTACAGTTCAGGGAAAGCCTCTCCAGCACAAAGAATCATGACACCATCAAATAAAACAACTTTAAACACAGTGCCAGTAAATTATAGGTGTTAAAACAAAAAAATGTACTTTTCTTGGCCCGAGATTAATAGAAGCTTTTTCCTAAGCAGGACATATGAAGAAGTTGACAGAGGTTCCAACCTGACACAAAAGCATTGTACTAAAACACAAACAGTGAAACAAGTATTTTCAATTACTCAAATTGAATAAAAATACATTAACTAAAGCAAACGAAAGAAAAAAATATTGTTACCTACACATTTTATTAAGTCTTAATTTCACTCCTGAATACTTTAGATCTTTTGAATAGCTCTAGGGATGGAGAGTCCACAACCTCTTTGTGCACCCGCTTCAACGTTTGACTATCCTTGAGATGAAATAGTTCACCTAATAGCTATTCGGAATTTCCTGCATTCTAAGTCGTGCCTCTTGTCTCCCATCCTATCACTGTGTAGCTCTAGAAAGAGCATGGCTCTACCTTATCCATACCCTCCTGTTAGGAAGCTGCTGACAGCAATAAGGTCTCCTGTTCACCTCTCCTTCTCCAGGCTGAAGGGATTCAGTTCTCTCAGTCTCTCCTCATAAGGCAGGTACTCCAGCCCCAGCCAGCTTGGTGGCTCTCTGCTGGACTGACTCCAAGCTGTCATTATCCTTTCTTGTACTGGGGAGCCCAGAACTGGACAGAGCATGCTATAGATGCAGTCACATACCTGCTGCATCATGAGGAGTCATCACCAAATGTCAGTAGTCCAGGTAAGTAATGCCAACTCTGAATGGTCAGACATGCATTTTATGAACTCCCAAGTACGCCCTTACTTCCTTCTCAACAGTACAATAGGACTTGCAGAGTTTTAGAAGCACAAGCAATAGAATTTATTTCACTTCTAGATATTAACTAGGTTTTCCTGGTAACTAGTACTTCAAAAAGAAAAAAGTTGTGTTGTATCAAGAGTAAATGCATATACAAATATTAACTTAGATATTACATGCTCATATATAGATAGTAAAATATAGACTTTTCCATACAAGCAAGTTTATATGTACAAGAATGAGGTGTTAGGAACTCTAGAACTGGCCAAGACTCATCTAATGAATTTAAGTTTTCTGAACATAAGGAGTCTCCTCCAAACATTCATTCCAGAAATAAATAGTGAAAAAATGCATGTTGGTTGTCTAACTTCTTAATAGGTGACAAAACTGCAAGGTGAGCATAGTTGGGGGAAAAAAAGAAAACAACAACGGAAAAGGCAAAAAACCCAAAACACCTAATAGGGCAACATTTCCAGCAAAAGATGGATCGTCAGTCGAGCTTCTGTCCTTTCTACTTCTAATGGAAGCATGATGCAAACTTGAATAATGAGTTGGGAAATATTTTTTCTAAAAGAGAACCTCAGGCATGCTGACCAAGTAATTGCGCAAAATATGGGTATTTTATTGTTACATGTTTGGATCTGCAATGATAAAAGAAATCAGAAACAAAATGACAGCAATGACCTGTAATCACGCCAAACACCCTGCCTCTGAAGTGCAACAAACAAGTGGACACTAGGGAGATTTTCCCAACTACAACACACCCATATGCACAACTGACCCTATAAATATCTCAGCAAAAAGGTAGCTGTGGTCAAAATAAAACCTCTAAAGCGTACGAGTATCATATGGATATACAACAGCTGTAGGACACCTCAGAAAGAAAAACTACGCTTACGAAAACAGGAAGTGATTACAGTTAAACATATGTTCTGAGTAACTGTAAAATACTAGAGCCAAAGCTTTCAAAACCAAATCCTCAGTGTGCCCACGCAACCATTCTCTGAACAAATTTAGAAGCCTTTTTGCTAAACCTGTTGCAACATGAAAACAGAACTAACATTAGCAATGTATCTCCTTTGCTGAGGATTTGTTTATGTCAAAGCATTTAACACCTTTATATAGACATTTATACCAGAGGGAAGGGTAGAGAAACATTTTTCTCCTTAAAACATAATTCTAGCTTGATACAAATACCTCCACTTCTTTTTTCTTTGTCCGATTAAGTTTCAGCCTTTCTTGATCTGCTTTTTCCTCCCAACGGAGTTTTTCTAGCTGCTGCGTTTGCGTAGCTACTTTCTTTCTTGCTATTTCCTTTAGCTCTTTATAGCGCTCCAACTGGACAAATAACAAAAATAAATTCACTCCACTGACCGTGGGAAGACTCATGTTATTACAGCCTCAATTAGCAACTGCCTACTTTATGATAATGAAGGTTATAAAACCCACCCAATTCTCCAGAAGACTTTTCTAGCTACTAATTGCAAGATAAGACATTATATTTTATTAGAGAAAGACTGAACCCAAAGCTTACACTTAGTAGTTCCTGACTATGGTCTTGCTTTAGACTTCTAAAGACTCGTATTTTTCAGGAAAGTTTATGAAGTTTACAAACTTCACAGTACTTCACAGTCAGTCTTAAGGTTAACACAAAGTTTTTGCCTAGTCCAAAATTAGTGCTGTAATTATAAATACCAAAACTTGCATTCTCATGTTATCAAATTAATTGGTTTTTTGAAGGTAAACAAACACTTTAAACAATCCTGCAAAATTATGACTAACTGACCAAATGTCTCTAAATTGCAGAGCAGGAAGATTCACAAACTAAAAGAACAATCCTGCAGGTTCTCCATTAACTGATCAGAAACTATTTTAAGGAAAAGACAGTGGAGAAAAGAAGCTAGCACTTAGTTTTAAAAGCATTTCTGGCCACACGGTTGCTAAGGCAGCTTCTTCAAATGTGAATTTACTGTAACGCAATGCAGTCGTTTTTTTTTTTCTAAAGTAACTTAAAATAGCTCACAAGCGAGCTACCTCAGTTTTAGATTCTGACCCACAGTAGATGGTATGCATACCACCAAGTCTTGTTTGCATTTTTCCTGTCTTCTTGTTTTTTCTTAATTGAAGACATATTTCTGTACCTCAGCTGACAAGCCATTTCTCAAAAATTACCCCCGCACCCCAAGACCCTACACTTTTTCTATCCTACCTGCCCACAAAGTACCATAGGGGCTTCCACAAAGAAGGCGAAAAAACCCAAACCAGAGAGAACCACCTAATCATGGATAATTTTGGGCAGCTATAATCCTAATCCACAGATGACAGTCCCTGCGCACAACCCTTCTGAAGTTTCCATCAAACTCTTCTCAACTTCTTGCTCACTGAAAATTCAATGTTTCCTCTAATAAGGTATTTTCTCACATTGTTTAGAAGATGTACTTCACACCCTAGGAGAGATGCTTACCATTTCCAGTCTCATAATGGTGGACTTCTAAATCTCTACGTACCTTAGATTTACTTCCTAGAAGTATTCCACATTTGGAACCTCTGTGAGATCCGACTTCCCCACCCCCCTCCCAGAAAGGAGACAGCCCACTCCAAGAGGCTGCATTATCATTTCTCTTCACCTCACGAGACAGTCTCTAAATAAAAGTTACAATTTTGGTTTTGTTTGAGCTCAACAGCTAAAAAAAATCACTAGAAATTACAGGTTATTGGTGAAACAATAGTTTCTTCTCATCAGTGGGGATTTTTGGACTTCATTAGAAAACAATGCTTTGTGGTCTCCCAATTCACCTGACTTTCTTCCAGCTCAACAAATGCTGCTTTCCGCAACATCTCCTCTTCAAATTTCTTCTCAAACGCCCTCCAAGCCTTCTCAATATCATTCAATTCTACCTCTAGCTCTTTTATGTTCTGCTTTTCCTTATCACAGGATTTCTCCTTGTCCCTTAGCGATTTTTTAGACATTTCTACTTTCTTGATTTGGTAGGAAGTGTTTTCTTTTGCTTTTATATAGAGGGCTTTCTGCTGAATCAGTGATGCTTCCAGAGTCCTAAAAACCGAAACAAAACAAAACACTCAAAATAAGCAAACAAAAAAACTCAACCAACCAACCACCACAAAGCACATCCAAAATAACAAAACTACACCAAAAAAGAAAAAAGAACAACCCCCTCCCAACCACACATGCAAATAATCAGTTGTCAACTGCAAGGTTACATACCCACAGGTGATTTTTTTTTTAAATAGCCACTGAAAATAGAAATTTAAGAAGCGAAGCATAAACTTCTAAAAAATTTAGTATTTATATAATGAAATTATTGACAACCTGGGTGTGGTGGTGGACGTGAAATCTGTGTCTAGATATTACTTTAGTAAACTGTTACAAACTGACTTGCATAGCGTTGAGCTATCACTCAACTGCTTTAACAGGAAAGGCATGCCTGCCAAGCAACTGCCAGGGCAGACTATGCTTTAACTCAACTATCAGAGAATCTGATTGGAAAACCTACTTCATTTCTCTTTCCATATGTTGTTGGTCTCTGTTGAGTACACCAAGCACTTTTTTCTTGGCTATAAACACATCTTCTGCTTTAGAAAGAGACTCTTTCTTCATACTTGTCTCCATATTCTTTTCATCCAAACTTTTTTTCTGAAAGTCAATGTGTTTTTCATTGTGATAAAGCCGGAAAAGCTGCAGCTGTATCCTTTCTTCATCCAGTTCCTTGAGAAGCATCTGGTAACGCTCTGCCTACCAACATTAAAACTTTATTAATGGTTTATGGAAAGGATTTTTAATTATTAGCAATCTGATTTCAAGTCCAAAGTGATGTAAGATGATGTACCAGTAGCTGTAATGCCAGTAATGTTCACTATTCATAAAACTCAAACATGTACATCAACACTTTAATTAAATTATAATGGCAAACATACACTTTCATTTATTTAGAATTTATTATATGTATTCCTCTACGCTTTTAAATTATACTAAATTACTATGTAGTATACCATACTCCAAAAAATACTAGATGAGAAACAACAGAAGTTTGTTTTTTCTTAAAGAAAACCTGTATCTAAGTTAACAAAAGATGCAAAATCTGAGATCTTAACATGCAAAAAAGGAATAGCTTCGAGTTACCTCCTCTTTCTCTATTTTTGCTTGTCTGCGTTCTGCTGCAACACTTTTTTTCTTGTTATAATTAAACTGTGTATCCTCTTCTGCTTGCTGCATTTTTTTCTTTTTTCGTTCATACTCTTCAGCATATTCCCATGAATTACTGATTTGTTCAAAAAGTTGAGTTATCTCCTTTGGCTTCTTCATTGCAATGGATTCTACTGTTCCCTAAAAAAAAATTGCAAAAAAAAAAAAATAAAATGCAGCATTGTAGACCATTATGCTATCTAATGAATTTCTTTAAGAGCATATAGTACAGATTTATCTCCGGATATATTTACGGTTAACAGAATTGGATGGAAACACTTTCAGATTCAATTGGAAGGCAAAGTTTAGTACCAAAAGGAATACCACTTAGCCACCTCATCTAATTAAATGACATCACTAAGTGTTTTAGAATGTCAGATATTGTCTATGAAAAACACCTTCAAACTAAATCAACCTGCACAAATCAGTGAGCAGTATTATAATGACAAAATTAAATCTTCTTAGTCTCTTTAAAGAAACTGAAACTCATTTTCAATGAAAAATAAACTAAGCCCCCCCAGTATTTCAAAAGAAACACAGCTAAAATCAATGCACTAGAAGATTATCTAACTCCCAAAGTTAATAGGCACACTTTTTTTGTGCATGTGTTACCCACTCAAGTCTTCACTGATCTGAAGGAGCTACTATTTTCAGTAAAGTGTAGGAAATAAGTTTTGTGATTTTTATTGTGTTTGTATAGCGGGCAAATGCCGTCATCATAGAAACTATGATCCCAATAAGAATCCATATATAGGGTTTCTATAAAAGGGAAAAATCAGTTCTTCCTTGGGTATTTCCCTCAACACCTGTAAGGAAGAAAATCCTCTGAAATATATTAATCATAAGTA